AAACACGTCATATCTCAAAACTACAAGGATTTGAGCAATCATATTTGAAGCAAAAACTCGCAATCCCTAGGAGTGCCTTGAACAAGTCTCACTATAGAGATCAGAAGCTCAAGTTTTCAGAAAATTTTTCTATTAAGTTCTTTTGTAATGTCTTTTTTTAATGTTCAATGTCATATCTCGGAAAAAGCATTTGAGCAGTCGCATTCGGACGTAAAACGTATAACAAAAAAACTTCTGAGAGTACCCTCACATTACCCAACTACAAGGTTGAGATTTTGTAGTCTTGTGAACTTATCGAAATCCGTTTTTTGAAAAAAAAAATCACGAAACACGTCATATCTCAAAACTACAAGGATTTGAGCAATCCTATTTGAAGCAAAAACTCGCAATCCCTAGGAGTGCTTTGAACAAGTCTCACTATAGAGATCAGAATTTCAAGTGTTCAGAAAATTTTTCTATCTAAGTTCTTTGAACTTTTAAAACAAAAAAGACATTACAAATGTCATATCTCGAAAACTAAAAGCATTTGAGCAGTCGCATTCGGACGTTAAACGTCTAACAAAAAACTTCTGAGACTACCCCGACATTATCCAACTACAAGGTTGAGAATTTGTAATCTTGTGAACTTATCAAAATCTGTTTTTTGAAAAAAAGAGAAATCACGAAACACGTCATATCTCAAAACTACAAGGATTTGAGCAATCCTATTTGAAGCAAAAACTCGCATTCCCTAGGAGTGCTTTGAACAAGTCTCACTATAGAGATCAGAATTTCAAGTGTTCAGAAAATTTTTCTATCTAAGTTCTTTGAACATTTAAAACAAAAAAGACATTACAAATGTCATATCTCGAAAACTAAAAGCATTTGAGCAGTCGCATTCGGACGTTAAACGTCTAACAAAAAACTTCTGAGACTACCCCGACATTATCCAACTACAAGGTTGAGAATTTGTAATCTTGTGAACTTATCAAAATCTGTTTTTTGAAAAAAAGAGAAATCACGAAACACGTCATATCTCAAAACTACAAGGATTTGAGCAATCATATTTGAAGCAAAAACTCGCAATCCCTAGGAGTGCCTTGAACAAGTCTCACTATAGAGATCAGAAGCTCAAGTTTTCAGAAAATTTTTCTATTAAGTTCTTTTGTAATGTCTTTTTTTAATGTTCAATGTCATATCTCGGAAAAAGCATTTGAGCAGTCGCATTCGGACGTAAAACGTATAACAAAAAAACTTCTGAGAGTACCCTCACATTACCCAACTACAAGGTTGAGATTTTGTAATCTTGTGAACTTATCGAAATCCGTTTTTTGAAAAAAATATCACGAAACACGTCATATCTCAAAACTACAAGGATTTGAGCAATCCTATTTGAAGCAAAAACTCGCAATCCCTAGGAGTGCTTTGAACAAGTCTCACTATAGAGATCAGAATTTCAAGTTTTCAGAAAATTTTTCTTTCTAAGTTCTTTGAACATTTAAAACAAAAAAGACATTACAAATGTCATATCTCGAAAACTAAAAGCATTTGAGCAGTCGCATTCGGACGTTAAACGTCTAACAAAAAACTTCTGAGACTACCCCGACATTATCCAACTACAAGGTTGAGAATTTGTAATCTTGTGAACTTAACAAAATCTGTTTTTTGAAAAAAAGAGAAATCACGAAACACGTCATATCTCAAAACTACAAGGATTTGAGCAATCATATTTGAAGCAAAAACTCGCAATCCCTAGGAGTGCCTTGAACAAGTCTCACTATAGAGATCAGAAGTTCAAGTTTTCAGAAAATTTTTCTATCTAAACTCTTTGAACATTTAAAACAAAAAAGACATTAAAAATGTCATATCTCGAAAACTAAAAGCATTTGAGCGGTCGCATTCGGACGTTAAACGTCTAACAAAAAACTTCTGAGAGTACCCCGACATTACCCAACTACAAGGTTGAGAATTTGTAATCTTGTGAACTTATCAAAATCCGTTTTTTAAAAAAAAAAGAAATCACGAAACACGTCATATCTCAAAACTACAAGGATTTGAGCAATCCTATTTGAAGCAAAAACTCGCAATCCCTAGGCGTGCTTTGAACAAGTCTCACTATAGAGATCAGAATTTCAAGTTTTCAGAAAATTTTTCTATCTAAGTTCTTTGAACATTTAAAACAAAAAAGACATTACAAATGTCATATCTCGAAAACTAAAAGCATTTGAGCAGTCGCATTCGTACGTCAAACGTCTAACAAAAAACTTCTGAGACTACCCTGACATTATCCAACTACAAGGTTGAGAATTTGTAATCTTGTGAACTTATCAAAAACTGTTTTTTGAAAAAAAAAAAAAGAAATCATGAAACACATCATATCTCGAAAACTACAAGGATTTGAGCCGTCACATTTGGAGGAAAGATTCGCAACCGCTGCGAATCTGAGAGCTCTCTGACAGCCTCCACTACAAAAGTGGGAACTTGAATTTTTGAAGAAGAAAAAAAATAAAATTAAAATTTCTGAAATTTTTTTGAAAAACCTAAAAAACGTCATATCTCGAAAACTAAAAGGACTTGAGCAGTCATATTCAGAGGTAAGATTCGCAACCCCTGAAAGTACCCTCACAGTTTCATACTACATGATTGAAATTTTCCAAAAAAAAACAATTTTAATTTTTTTGATTTTTTTAAAATCTAAGTTTTTTGAAAATTTTTGAAAAATCATAAAAAAACTTCATATATCAAAAACTACAAGGATTTGAGAAGTGAGATTTAGAAACAAGATTCGGAAGTCCTGAGAGTAAGAATTTCAAATTTTGGAAATTTTTTTAAATACAATTTCTCTAATAAATCTTTGAAAAAACTAGAAAATTGCCATCTCGTGAGCAACAAGGATTTGTTAATAGATATATGGAGGCCCAAATGGCAACACCTGGGAAAGCCCTAACAGCATAACACTGTTGGTTTGCTAATTTTAAACTTGGTGAAATAAACACTGAACTCAATCTGGAAAATCGAAAAAAAAATCTTAACCATTGCAATATACGATATGGCTTAAACGTGAAAAAATTCTTTTGATAAAACTCGAGAAAAAAATAAGGTTACCCGAATAAAACTAAGTAAACTTTTACGTTTTAAATCAAGCTATTGTAAGCTTTTAGCCATTAATATAAGCTTTAGTAAGCCTGCTCGCACGTTCTATTCGCTCGAATTAGGACAAAGAACAAAACATTTCAAACCGGTTCTTTCGACAATAGGAACTTTTTTGAATTTTTGAATGTCATTCGAGTCTCGACTGTAAGGGCTGTAATATAAAATTTCACTCAACACTCCGATGATTATTTGTGGTGGCAGATTCTACGCGGAAACAAAAAAAAACTAAAACACACCCGAATACAAAGTTCCTCCCCTTTTTCCAAATGGTAGGAACAACGAGAAATTAATTCTTTCGAATGGTATTAGAACAAAATTCTAAACCGAAAAAGCCCCCCGTATCTCAAAAAATCTTTTCGCAGCCCAATTAGATTCTGCCTGATTTAAAGCTCTTACAGTATAAAAAATCACTTTCAAAAGTTTATGATTCAAAAATGATTTTGTCGATGAGGGTAAAACCGCAAAGTCTCAGATGCAGAAAAGCGTCAATTGACAATTTAAATTCATAGCACAGGTTTTATAAAATTAAACAAATACCAAAGTTGCATTCGAGATGCAACAAAAGTTATTGACAAAAAATTCCTAGTTAGATTTCTCCTAGTGGATCAAGAAACTTATTATAAGCCAGGAAAAATGGACGCTTCGGAGAAACAGTTGGATAACTTGTGATTGCTGTAATTATATCTCTGTAATAGTAATACGTATTTCTAAATGATCTTTTAAAAGCTGTGATGAAACCAAAACCCTAGTTTTAACAGCTGTGCTGTTGCGTAATGAGGTTTTTTGGATTACAGACCATCTGTACCTGTCACCGATTAACTCTCGAAAAAAATTAGACGCTAAAGGGATGATGGATGAATTTACATCACCTTTTATCTTCTTTTACTTATCTACTATTATTTACTACAGTTATCCATACCCGCATCCCCCTTTTGGTATTTTTGTGTACTTCGTAACCCTTCTTGCTGTATCAGCCGAGTTATACATAAACTTTACTGACTTACATTAAGTTTTAGTCACGTTGAAGACCGAGTCTATCAATGCTTCTTTTTCTTCGCTCTAGTCTCATATTGCGCATATATTTATGGACTTAAACTCGGAAATTAGTAAACTGCTTTCGGTGAAATCAAATAAAATTCGCAAGCAAACTTTTAAGCAAAAACTAAATGAATCTATATTTCTTGAAGACAAGTAGAAAAACTGAACCGCATTATATGATCAAAAAATGCAAATATCAACTAATTTATCACTAATTATTTCAAAAACGACTTATTCAATAAAGAAAAATCTGGAGTTGAGTTAGCTCTATAACAACAATTAACAGTAAAAGGAACTAATAGGATAAAACAAGCGAAAGAAGCAATAACCTTTTTTCGCTCTTGAATTTTCTAATGCACGTTATTTTTTTCTGCAGCTTCAACTGCTTTCATATTTCGAGACATAATGAAATAATACGTGTTTCCGTATAAATTTTAAGCCTTTGCAAAATCAATCAGTGTTGCAATTTAGTGGCATGATGGAATTAATTTAATGCCGTTTGCACGACTGCAAGGGGATGTTTGGTGGGGTGTCCTATGCAATGCAGCCATTAGCGATCTGCGTCATCGCTTCTCGGTGGTTACTTCCGCCCCCTCCCCACCCAAAAAAAGGCAATGATCCGAAACCGATTGATCCGAATCAAATAATTTTTTGATTTACTTGGATTGAGCTTAATCCGCCAAATTAAAAAAAAAACTCACTAATTATTATTGCCCTCAATCTAAGTCCATAAAAATGTAAAGGCCATAAACTACATCTATGAAGTGTCAAAGCATTCTTATCAACAGATATAAATTCGACTGTTCGAGCGGTTTGCTGGTTGCACTAACCCATTTCCGGTTGTCTTAGTTGCAGTTGACTCAACGTCAGTACACTGTTTCCACTTGTACTGTGACTAGGTAAAACAAATCAGAATTCACACAAATTAAAAGAGTAGAACGGAATGAAAAAAATTAAAGCATGTTAGTACTTGAACTTTTTCAGAGAAGTAAAATTTGGTCAGTTAATCATATGGAAGACAGAGGCATTCGTGCTGGAGGACAGGTTCACAGGAAACAATAAGAATTGCATATATTCAAAACATTTCCTTAATTGTTTCAAGAAAATTTGACTCCGATAATCTCACGATTCGAATGTTCTATTTCAAATAAGGTTTCAAACAATTAAATGTTCAACAAAATACCAAATTTTACTGATTTTTTTCTGCCCGATGAACAATTCTCAATACAAATGAAAGCGATCGAAAAAAGATAGGAAAAAATCTGAGTGCATTGTAAACTAAAAATGAAATACCTTCCTTAATTCACAAGCGTTTTTTTCCGAAAAAAGCGAATAAAATTTCTTTTTTAAGGGCGGAATAATATGATGAAGGGTTTTGCGACTTTTAATCTTTCGCCATCAGGGAATGAATTTGAACAAAAAATTGAACGGAATATGATGACGAAAGAAATCAAATTCCTATCAAAGAAAGATCTAAATCTATTTCATTTTTTATTTGAGCGAACATGACATAAGAATACGATTCATTAAACATACACTCTAACTTCCGCCCATCAAAAGTCATTAAATCGAATATAGGAGGGATTTCTTGCGCATTTACGTCACCTAATCCGAAAGCATTCGCTGCTATTTTTCCTTTTCTTTGTCATATTCGAGGAAAACTATCCAAATTACCACAAAGGCGGAGCGCAGCTTTAACGTTGGAACTTTTACGACAAAGAAATAGAATCAATATGTAAAGGACAAAGAGCAGTGAAAAAAACATACGAGAAATCAACTGCTTATTTTTTTGAACCAAATACAGAAAACACAATGCAGTTTAATTAAAACCTGATTGCCAAACAAAAAAAGTCAGCTTCTTTATTAAGTTTTAAACAGCGCGCTAAAACTGGGAAATTAAAAATTATCGTAGAACTTAAAACCGATAGGCATTGACAAGTTTAATTTCTTAAATGAGTGGTATGTATTTGGTATTTTACTTCAGACAAAGGCGAACATTGAAACAAGACTGCTCGAAAGCGAAGCCCTGTTTTTTGAAGTAGAAGAAAAGATAAAAGTCACAAAACAAGCAATATCAAGCTCCAGGTAATATCATTAGGTAAAGACGCGACCAGATCAAAGCGCATAAACTGTTTTATTCAGCTACGTGATCACAAGAATTGAAGATGGAGTATAATATTTGTAGTTACCAGAAAACTCAACATGAGAAAAACATAGTCAACAGAACGTAGGAAAAGTGTCAATGAACAAACAGATTAACACATCGTTTATGGTTGACACTTTCTTGATAAAACTACCTCAATGGTAGAAAATTGGCTCAAAAGATGGATTTTTTATTCCTATGGGATAACTTAAAAAAATCCTCTTTCGGAATTAGACGTCGTTCACGCCAATTTCACTTAGTAATTGGAGAGAATAATTCACTGTTTTAAGTTAAATGGATGTGAATTTAAACTTCAAAGAAATCGAAAGTCAAACCGTCAAAAATCATATTTGAGCATGATCAATCCAAAAGACTTTTAAAAACAATCAGCATGAACTATACAGGTGTGTTCACTACATTCAGTGGCATATAGCAGCCTTGCGGTAAAAAATCGAACATTGCGTGTATATGCGCCCGTATATCCTACATCAAACTCGAAGTACTTATTCCCCCACCCCCGAAACAATCACACGGAAAAAAATCAATTCTCGCTCTTCAATGGACAAGATATGAGGCGATAAAGCCGATATAACATAAAATTTATCGGAATAGGAACCTCGAAAGCTTAACTGGTATCTATTCAAGGTGATATAAAAAACCAACAGAGCTGAGCTAACAATCATGAAACCGAAATCATCAGTGTAAAAATCGAAATTTCAAAATTATAGACGCAATGGTTGAGTTCGATATATAATTTTTATCAGTAGTAACTACTACTAGTTAAATGAAAAGTTTCAAAAAAAAATGCGCAAGTCAGCAGCACAAATGGTTCAAGTAATTTTGTTAAACAAGTTATTAACCCAAAAGTGTAGTAGAAAAACTATTTTGATAAATAAGGGACAAATTTATAATTGATGATGTTAGCATTCGAAAAGATACTAGGCGCTCCGCCCTCTTCAAGTAGCAATCAACTATGCGATATAGTTGACCTTCGAAAAAAAAGACTTTTTCGAAGGGTGTAGACAAAACAAAAAGAGACCAGGGAAGTATTCAGGTACACAAGTGTGGCGGCAGTCTTTCTATGGACACTCATTTTTTGAAAATCGCTTAAAAAAACTATTGAGAAAAAAAAACTTTTTGCAAAAACTGATAAAACTTTGCAAAGCGTCTCAAAACGAAGTAAATAATTAACCCAATCCCATACATCTCCATTAAACCTACTTTTATCAAACAGGAATTCTAGGCAAACAAGCCAAGCAAGACATTTTCAACTCAAATCAGCAACTAACAAAACTTACCAAGCGGAAACAAGGCTGACCATCTTTAAGCAGACACCAATTGAACCGAAAAAAAAATGTATAAGAACATTTTAAGCTTCAAGTCCTCCCTGAAAGTACCCTGTAGTAACTAGTATCCACCCAGTAGTTAAAATTGAATTGTCATGAAATTGAGCATCTTAACTGATTGAGCAAGTGATTCAACTGATTTTGTTAAACAAATTGTTAACCCGAAAAAAGTCTACATTCCGATTTGATAACGCTTGCTCATCGCAAACAAAATAAAACAAGTTCCGACCGGGACTCGAACCTCTGAACTTAGATCGCAGAGACTACTGCGTTACCTTTAGGCCAAGTGCAAAGTTCTACTTCTTAAGCTTCAGTAATAAAGGAAGTAAGAAAAGCAATAAACATTTGTATGACAAGTTTACTGCGGGAAAAATCTAGTTCACGATTACAAGACACAATGTAAGAACAATGAAAGTTGCCTTTGTGTAAAAACATGAAGAAAACTTGTTGCATTAGAAAGAACTAAAATATCATGTTACATTTTTCGCTTTGAAAAATATGAGTCTTCACTACGTTGATCGACATACAAAAAACAATTCACCTTTTACTCCACTGCGGGTCATTTGACCTGTTTATCCGCTTTTGCTAATGATGTTTCCGCGTTCGCTTGTTCTACTTCATCGCTCGCTTTCGATGCACAGTTTTCGCTTTAAGCGGGACAACACTCTGCTCGTGACACAGGCTGATCTAGCTCTGATTGAGTGATGAAAAGAAAATGAAACCACTTACCAGTTAAAGCTGTCATAAGTTCGGTAATTTATGGACACAGTCACTCTCGTCAAACATTATTGAACCAACGCCATCATTTTTCTCCAGTCGATCGAAATGTATTCTCCACACTTCAGGGTCGAAATTCGGGAAGATAAGCTTTCTTTCCCTTTCGGCGCTTTCCATTGAGTCACTTCCATGAAAACAATTTTTCGTTTCTGTAATTCCAAACTGAGCTCTTAGACAGTTCGGTTGTTCAACTCGTGCCTTTTCCACATCAGTCGGACCAATCAGGTCTCTCCATTTTCTGATCGCATCTTCTCGGAAAAGAGTCGAGCACACAACTGGTCCCCTACTCGTACTTTGCATTAGTCGTTCGTGAAAGTACTTTCCCTCGTGGACCGAATAAAATATCTCCGCTTCTTTGCGTGTGAATTGAAACTTCCGACTAACAGCGAAAATGAAACCGTTCCTTCGCACGATCGAGAGAGCTTTTGTAAAATTGGAGCTGTTCTCAACCAACTCTGGTTTAAAAATTGCCAGGGTGAACTGTTTTCCAAGCATGCTCTGGATTTCATACAAAGTTAGTTGCTCTGAAAAAATCTCAACGTAGCAAACAGACAGTTTGAAAAAGGTAAGAACTCAGGAAACAAAAAAGCTGACTGGAACCATTTTTAAAGCTTTTTGAAACTGGGCATCATTCACGTTTTTCGTGACATTTACACTTTTGCTATTCGATAATGGAGTTTGCCTTCCTTTGATCAAAGTAGTCGAAGCAAACTTAAAAATTAAATAATAAAATAAACCGCAAAAAAAAACTAATTTGAGAGTGAACAAATTTTAAAGACTTTAAAAAATAAAAAAAATCATCACGACATATTTTAGTGAAATCACCTAGTTCTTTTACTCTTAAAAACAATCCTTTCAAACAAAAATCAGGTTCTTTGACAAAATAAGATCGTAGTAGTAAGCTAGGAAAAGTAGCAAATCATTTTGGTCGACCAAAAAGTCGACAAAGATCTCAAAATCCCACCAAATTAATAATACCTATAAAAAATCTGATTTTTTATTCGTTGGTTTTGATTTTCTCCAATCACGAGTCGTTTATCTTTTCCCGATAATCAACACATTTAAAATATTAAATATCTGATAACGAATTTTAACCTATTTCTGAAAGGTTAATTTTGATCCCTTCCCGAAATCAAAACAGTCAAAAGGTTTGCAATTTTTCATAGTTTCCTTTAACAGCAAAAGATTGAGAAAGAAAAATTTTTTGAGAATCTGGTTTACACTATAAACATTGTGAACACTAACTAAGGATTAAAACTATCAAATTGAAAGACACTTGGGAGAAATCAATCATATTACTATGAAAAAACTGACCAGTTGAGTGAGAACGCCATTGAGCAAATAAATTAACTAAAGCTTTCAGATTAGTACCAGCGCATGACTTTGAATAGGTGCTTTGCATAGATTGTGTAACGTTAAAAGAGCTTCCTAAATTATATTATAAAAACAATGATATTTAACGCAACGCTAAATTAAACAGCGCCCTTTCATCAGGGTTTTCTTTTCATTTAATGAGTTATGAAGTAACAACTAAGGTTATTTTTCACCAAACTGGTCATATCTGTAAAACTACTAAGTTAAATTTTATCAGATAGAAAGTTTTAAAGGACCTTAAAAAATCAAACCTTAGAGCCAATTTCAAAATAATTTTGAAAATGTCAAAAACTGTAACATCAATTATCTATGATTATACAACCACTCAAAAAATTTTAAATAAGCCAGATTTTAATAGAGCAAATAACCTTTGCGATCAGCGAGTTAACATGTATACTCTTTTTTCATTTGTTTTGGACTTCTCACTGTCTCCAACTTTGGACAACCAAATTGAGTAAGTCTTGGACAAGGGATGTACTAAATAATTGCATTTTTCTTGTCCTTGAGCATAATAATTTGTGTGATTAATGTTGACTGGTTGCAAAATTTTATTTAGCTGGATGTAGAGAAGATCACCTTCATTCCACCTGATTTTACGCCAAATATTAGTAAGCCACGTTTTATCTTTTTCCCCCGTTCCGCGCATTGGTGTGGGGGTTGTAGGACAAAATGTACAAAGGAAGCATATATTTGTTTTTCTGTGATCAGTTTCTAGGAAACTGCAATGAAATTGATGATACGCTCAAAATAGCAATGAAAAAAACCAAGTGCTACAGACAAAAAAACCACATGAAGGTGTTAATAGAAGAATTCGCCTGGTTGCCAACCCAATTAAGACTTATGAACAAAATAATAATTTTATTAGGTACTGCTACTGTAAACGCCTTGTGCTAAATGATCGAATCTCGACAAAACCTTAAAACTTGAAATCAAATTCAGAAATCGAGCTTTAGATGCATTATCTATTTCTAGCAAAAACAATTGATAAATTGTTGTCTTTTCAGCCTTTGTGAAAGCAATTGATTGATGCCAATCGCCTTGCTATGCAAGTCAATTTTTGTGCTTATTGTGTCCTAACTTTCTTCTGAACAGTGAAACTTAAAATTTGTTTTAAATTATTGGATAACATTTAAACAAGTTTCAGTTAAGATGAGTTACGCAACAAATGTTGAATTATGAAAAAAGTAATTAAAATTGAAATCCAAAAAAATGTATGTAGGTGTTCACGTTTTTTATTTCAATTATTTCAGATTATTGACAATAATCTCAAATTAAACAATTTTTTAAGAAAGATTTTGAACAAACATTAGGTAAAGATGTTGATATGGATCACTGATTCAATTCAGGTTTCTGTAGAATGTTCTAAACAAATTAGATCGTTAAAAATTTTCAGAATTTTTTAACGATGATTCTTTTATAAATTATTTAGTCAATTGATGGTGCTCAATCGAAATTGGATATTTGGAGAGGGAGAGTGAATAGTGATTAGGTATATGTGTATCTGTATGAAAGTTCTGGAACAACTTAGAACAACTTATGACCCTTTTGAAACGTTCTACAACAACCTAGAACATTTGCTCCAGCTCTTTTCCGCGCCCTACCTACCCCTAGCGTTACTGGTGCGCAAACTACTACAACTGACATCACTCCGCCATTGCGTTGAGAATTTTGACCGTCGAAGTTGCACTTTGCATACACAAGCAAAAATATGACCGACGACGCTACTGGGAAAAACTGAATGAGTAAAACTTCGAGTCTACAAAAATTCTTAAGTGACTCACGCTAATTATGAGTCTACATAATTGCTAAGTGACGCAAGCCAATTAAGACGCATTAGCAGTACCAGTCAATTTGAAAAGAAATTTACCAACTAACATGCCTCAATTTATAGAGCGGAGAATTTTTAAATAGTATACGAAAAGTTCATTAAAAGCATCCGACCCTGCCAAGGTTCGAACCCTTTTTTTATGCTGCTGGTCTCCTTCCCTACCTCTACGCTACAGATTCATAACACCTTGAAGCTAAAGTGCTATTTGTAATACTTTAGTGGGTGTTAATATTCTTAGCATTTGCTGTACTTAATCGCTGGTTATTGATCTTATGCATACACTGCAATAAAAGAACAGTTTCAAAAAGAGCACTAATATTTGCGACTTAGGTTGGAAAAAAAGTGAAGACGTAAAATCACACAAGCTTTGCTTGTGTAATAATATTTGCGACTTAGGTTGGAAAAAAGTGAATTCGTAATATCACACAAGCTTTGCTTGTTTAATTAATATGTGATTAATAAATTTGATGACATATTCACACTGGATGACGTGATTTTAATCACTCCATCAAAGGCTACTAGTTTTTTTCCGGTCTAAACTTTTTCTGAAAAAAAGATAAGACCATAAAAACGCCATACCTCGAAAACCAAAAAGATTTGAGCCGATGAGTTTAAGAGGCCAGATTTGTACTCTGACAGTGCAACCGAATGTACCCTGACAATGCCCCATCATTGTTTTGATAATTTCAAGTTCGTTTAGTTTTTTTTGAAATCCAAATTTTTTGAAATGGATGGAAGAATCCCATATATACACTACACGACACTGCACTTCGCCTCATTCTGACATCATAACTACACCCATACAATTGGCCTAATGACATTATACACTATAAAATCAAAAAAACTTACGCAATGCAACATACGATATAGCTTTTACGCGCGCATTTCCGTTAAACAGGCAAAAGTTAAACGTTGAAAAAGCTTAATCACTGGAAAAACTTCAGCGTTAAAAAAGCTCAAGGACTTCTTAAACATACATGACGTGATTAAACAATAGATAGATTGATAGATAGATAGATAGATAGACAGACAGATAGATAGATAGATAGATAGATAGATAGATAGATAGATAGATTGATAGATAGATATATAGTTAGAGAGATGAGGTAAATTAACTGTCATTCAATCCATATCTTGGATTTACCAGCAGATTCTGATAAAATTCCTCGTCTGCCTTAGAGGTATGCGCCCTTTTGATATCGACACTCGGGTACAGAGCAACCAAAACGGCCACTTCGCGATCCGAGATGCCCTTAACATACGACAAATCAACATACTGCAATTGTTTGCAACTCTTGAACACCAGTTCTAACGACCTGTATCCTTGAGCTAAAGATACCACTCCTAGAATGTCCAGACATTTCAGGATCGACTGCGTTTTGGCGATACAAGCCAAGGCGTCGACATTAAATCCCCGACATGCAGTGAAAATTAGAGAAGTAAAGTGGCTTCTTTTGCTGTTCAGCATCTGACACAAAGCACTATTGTACTCTAATGAACCCGTTTCTTGTCTATAAGACCATCCAACGTCTAAGGCTTTCAAACTAGGCATCGCAGACATGTGAATAAAACTTTGATCATTCACAGCCGCTCGACAGATGTTGAGACCCTGCAAATTGGGACAGTTCTGAACCAGAAGGTCTAGGAGAAGGTTAGTCTGGTCGCTCATAAGTGTAGGTGTCAAAGAATCCAAAGATAGAAAAGTAAGAAACTTATTCGTGCAAATCCAGTCTCGAAAGAATTTGAACTGAGACTCTTCAATGTCAGCGCTTTCGAGTGAAAACAATCGCAGATCTCTGAAGCTTTCCAACTTTTTGGCAGCTTGACGAAACTTTTGATGATTCAATCGTAAGATGATACTTTCTAAATTGGGGCAGAAATTTGCTATTTTAGTGAAATTTAGGTTTGAGAGGGTTGCTATGTTTACGTTAGCCAAATTTAAACACCTCAAATTAGAGCAACTGAGCACCAAAGATTCGATAGAGGTAGCTGAAACTCTGAAGCCCCATTCGACAGATATAGACTTGATATTCCAGTTATGAATTCTGCATTTCCGCGTGAAACACATCAGCACATTGTCCGTAAGACTCAAAAACAAAGACCTCAAGTCCAAACGCTTGTAGAGGCTATAGTCATTTGCTATTGGGTATAATCTACTGCAAGTCCTTGAGATTCTGGCCATATCCGTAATTGAAATATAACCAAAAATTTTCAAAACGATTTCATCGGGTAAGCTCAAAAAACCATAACCTTTTAAAGCAATGTCACCATGACCTTTTTCTTTGTCTTCAATCCTGATATCTAACTTTTGAACTGAAGATGCTAGAAAATCTACCGATGATTCTGTCGCGAACGGATTCAACAGATCCGAGTTCAAATCATCTCCCAAAACAGTAACACAGTCTATTTCAGGGTAATACGAAGCACCCTCAGAATTGAACTGGAGACACAAACAGTTTGCGTGATTTGAATATCGGGTTGTTTCACTTTTAATAATACATCGCCTCATAACAGATTCCGATTTGATATTCACTCCTCCGTCACTGAACTCGAGAATACTTTCTCCAGTATCCCTGTTCCAGATTTCGACCCAGTCGCCGTGGAGTTTTTCGTTTGGGTCCATTATCAAGCATCCTGATATTGAAACTAGACTACCTAAAAACAAATTAGTTTCTTTTTTACTCTCACATTACATGCCCTAAGTAATAAATATCGCCACTGAAGGCAGTATGACGAAGAGTTATTTAGCCCTCAAAGATTGTAGTTTCATCAAACTTTTCATAATGCTTTCATTCCAACTCATCCATAAACATTCATCATGTATCGGAAGACATTGATATTGTTTCGAAAACCATCGTTTTTTGGAAAATTGATCTGTTGACATAAGCATAGCTTTGAAAATCGAGAAGAGATGAAACAGAAAAAACAACTATTAAGCGCAAGAAAATACCAAAAATGAACACGAAAATTGTAGCTGAAAAGAGTGGACGTGTGTTTGCAACGCAACCGCTTTTGTAATCAAATAAGTTTCAAAAAGTGAAGCAATCTTAAACATAGACAAGCTGGCCTTCGCATTCCTTGCAAAAAAAACATCACAAACTGCCACTCTATAGCAGACTACTACAATTTAACAATTTCAAGAGCAAAAACAAGTTTCTATGAAGCTGCAAAAGAAAGCAACAAAATATTTTCCGGAACAGTTAATTGACGAATAGCTTATACACAGTGAAGATGGAAAATGAAACTACAAATATCAGACATCGCAAAAAATCATTAATTTAAAAACATCATCAGAAAACAGTAAAATTCTAAACACAGTAAACTCTAACGGTAAATTAAGAACACAAATTGAGTTGAAAAAAATTCTACGATACGAAACATAAGCAATTATGACTAGCGACCAAATCGTTTCCAAATAGCAAAAACAACTCCAAGCAAGAATCGATATTATGAAACTTGAATCGACATTATGAAACTAACTATGAAACTAAGTTGATATTTCTGTACACTTCCATAACAAAAAACACCAAAAATCAGCTTGATCAAAATACATAACACATTATTCTAGAGAAAAACATAACCAACAGTAGGATAGAAAAAGTTCAATGAACTCAACTTCTTAACTTTATATAAAACCAACTAGAACAGAGAAAACGTTTTAATCTTTTGGAAAATCGTAGGCTGAATATCAAATTTCGAACATGAACATCAACCACAATTTTGCACTTTTGTTATTGGAAAGTATCTATTGTTATCTGAAAATAAACAACAAGACAGCCAGTTGCTCAGCAGATATTGTATTGGCTACATTTTGACTACAATTATAATGTTTTTTTTTCTTCAATTTGCCGATTTCAAACGCGTAGCTTAAATTTCAAACCAATTTTTCTCGAAACTGGGTTTCTTTTTTGAAATGTTTTTAACGTCGTTCGAATCACAACTGAAAAGGCTTTAATATGATGTTCACTCGACCCATTCCGATGATTATTTGCGGTACCTGATTTTACGTGGGGAAACAAAAAAAGGAAAAAACTGAATACAAATACAAAGATTCTCCACATTTTCAACAGTCGTGACAAAAAAAACAAACACCCCATACAAAGATCCTCCCCATTTTCAAGTCGTGACAAAAAAATTGCTTAAATATTATAGCTATATTATAGCTATAAAAGACCAAGCTTCGCTTCGCAAACTCTAGCTAGAACACGACAAAAGGCAGCTTTGTAAAATACAATAAGAAAAAGTATAAATAAGCCTCGAAAATTCGACAACGTCCGAGATTCGAGCATGCGACCTTGAGATTAAGAGTCACATACACTAACCACTCAGCGACGGAAGCTTAATAGGTAGCAAACACTAGCCATAGATGAAGCAGAGAACAGATGCAATGAAATTTCCAAATAAATGAACACTTTTAATGAACACTTTAGGTAAGAAAAAAGAGAAGGTTCGTAATAACACACTAAGCTGACGGTAGTGTAAATAAAGAAAAAGTGAAATTAATTTCTGCTGTGAATTATAAAATCTCGAATTATTCTGTCCTCACATCTGCGCCACGGGCCTTTGACTATTTGCCAACACTATCCACAATTAAAATAATTACATATGCTAAAAAATTGCCAATGAATGTAACAATTTGGAAAGCATCTAAAAAACCTAGGTTCCCATTTGATAATGCTTGGTGATGGCAAAGACAATACATGATTACGGACAAAAATTATGGTAACAAAAAACCATATTTTAAAAAGATCTTGTTTTTAGCAATTGGAAACAGTTTTTTTGAGGCAAAACGGTCTCAAAGAACTTGGTCGCAATTGCATTGTTAGATATTTCAACCAAAATGCTAAGCAAAGTGCGTCCACGCCTACTTTGCATGAGATAAATTTGAGAGCATGAAGCTAATTAAGAATAAATTATGCATATCAAAAATTGCCCGAAATAATGAGAACGAAAATTTCTGAAATAGAATTTTACCAGAGAGATGAAGCGAAGCTTCTCGTCATTTACGATACAACGCAATCGTATCATTGTAGGCTAGCGAATCGTAATGAGATGAAAATAACAAAATCGAAAAAGTAATAAACAATTGGTGAAAAAAATGAGAAGAATTTCAGAAGAACAGGCAGTCGAAAAACACAGGCTGAAAAACTTAAGCAAAAAAAACCTATACAACATAAGCCGAAACTATTCAGGCCGAACAAAGCTTTTTAGCAAAAAACGAAAGGAAAACCAAGGAAAATATACAACGTCAGGGCCATCACTCTTAAAAATTACAAGAGTAAATTAAAAACACTCGCATCTACAATAAATATTGCTGATGCCACGATAAAATTCCCCAATTAAGCTGACACAACATAAGCAGACAAACGAAAGTCCGACAGTTTAATTTTTCCCGGAAAACAATTTAATTGCATACACATTGAAAAAAATGAGTAGTTATCGTGAAGCGAACCCCAGAAAAAAGGGTACAAAGACAACAGCATTACCTGTTGCTGAATTTCACTAATAAGGCAACTTCACAGTTTCATTAAAATATGTACGAAAAGTTTTTTTCGGGAAAAAATGTCTTGTTCCCGATTACAAGACACTTGCTCTCGCAAGCCTAATTATTGCACTGTTGCTTGAAATAAACAGCTTTTTTCTGTTAATTGTCGAATGTCAAAGCACATGCTACTAAATACCGCAAAGGTGCCCTAAAAGTGGCACCAATATTTGCGACTTTGCTTGGGAAAAAATACGCCTACTATTATACTACGCCCGCTAAAGCTCGTGAGTTTCATCAACCTATTCTAAACAGAGTATACAAAAGTCCATCTAAAGTATGGGGCGAAAAAATGCATTAAATTTAGCAATTTTCCGAAAAAAATGGGCATCTGAGTAAACAGAAATCAAGGCGAAAGCCATGCAGCCGCAAAAAACCGCAGATTTTTTATAGGTCTTTCCAATTATTTCAATCTTTATAGACATATTCGCACGCATAATAAGAGATGAGAAAGTGGTAGTACACTAACTTGTTAAGAAATTGAGCAAGTCAGTGCGCCACCTACGTCTACGTCAAAATTTTGACAAAGTTTTCAACCAAAAAAAGTCTAGCACCCGATTACTAAACACTTGCTATCGCGAGTCAAAAAGACTTGATTTAATGATCAACGGGACCAAAAAACTATCTGAAAATCATTAGCCATACTGCAGGCAACCATCCTGGTTTAATTTGTTGAAGCTCTCATTTTCAAGTCAATCAGCAAGACAATCCCCTAGCCCCACTTCTATCAATACCATTCACTTTATCATTAAGTTTTTGATACCCCAGTTGTCCGAGCTTTTCTGCACCTCCTGGTATTTAGATCACAAAGTCAACAACCTCTCTCAAGCTTTCATTCGCTATAATTTCGGATTTTTCGGGAGCTCAGCGTTGATAAAAGCGATTTCTGGCCTACAAAGTCATACCTGAACCTCAGTCTTCACCACAAAAAATTAAAGGCTAGAACTCTGGCCTGAAGGACCTCGACGTCTCCATTCTCCAAAACCTCGGAGTTTTCAGCGGATGCCCTTCAAGCGAGTAGAAAAATCTTAGAGCTCATGGAGCCGCGTCATTCGCTAAAACACCGGCAAAATGAATTCCAGCTGCAGCTTATTCGCTCAATTCTACCGGCTTGATTATCTTGAGCCTTAACATGTTTAGCTAATTCATTTATAAACATCTCAAGGATATCTTCCTCGCTGTTTATATTGCGTTTGAATTTATTTTTTTGTCAAAAATATAGAAAACAGACAGTTGGAAGAGTCAATGAACT